CAGGTACAGCCTGGTGCACCAATATACTCCAATCCTCACAACTCAACCAGGGAAGGGGAATACAGACAAAAAGAAATTTAAAAAAACAAAGCATAACAATGCATAATTTAAAAACATACAACAGAATCATACCATTCGAGATGGGGGCAAAGGCTCTTTAGCCCCAGGCCTGTCGGAACAGCCAGGTTTTAAGGGCTTTGCGGAAGGCCTGGAGGGTGGTGAGGGTTCGAATCTCCACGGGAAGCTCGTTCCAGAGGGCCGGAGCAGCCACAGAGAAGGCTCTCCTCCGAGTAGTCGCCAGTCGGCATTGGCCGGCGGATGGAAATCGGAGGAGGCCTAATCTGCGGGATTTTTTACTTTTATCGTTCAGCTTAACATTTTGCAGGTAGTTCACTTCCTGGTTTTGCAAACGGATGATATCATCAGCCTGGGCTAAGCTTAATTGCTTATCTGCCAGCCCATTAACCTTAGATACGTATACATCACTTCTGGACTTTGGGATTCAAAGGACGCACCATTAGCAATTGAAAAGAAATCTTGAGCAAACTATCAGCTCTGTAAATAAAGATAAAGGTTCCCCTTGCACATACAGGAAGTACTAGTGGTTCTCGACTCTAGGGGGCGGTGCTCATCTACATTTCAAAGCCGAAGAGCCAGCACTGTCCGAAGACGTCTCCGTGGTCATGTGGCCAACATGACTCAACGCCAAAGGCGCACGGAACGCTGTTACCTTCCCATCAAAAGTGGTCCCTCTTTTTCTACTTGCATTTCTTACGTGCTTTTGAACTGCTAGGTTGGCAGAAGCTGGGACAAATAATGGGAGCTCATTCCGTTAGGGATTCGAACTGCCGAACTTTCTGATCGACAAGCTCAGTGTCTTAGCCACCGAGCCACCGCGTCCCTATCAGCGCTATAGATATAAGCAATAGCTCAACTGGGTAACTGGGGACCCTGGAAACGTTTGAAGGTACAACTTGTGAAATTTGTGAAGTTATTAGTCCTCATCACCCTTTGCTCCAAAGTTCTGGTGGAGAATTTCCAAGAAGGTGTCTATTGTCATCGACAGCACGATATGTAAAGTATTGGTCGTTTATTAACATTAGAGCATGCAAAACAGGCACATACTCATACAATATCCTAGTTGAGGTTCTCCAGAACATGTCCATGTTGTCCTTCCCGCTAATTTGCAAAGAGAATAGAAGCTGCATCTGTATTATTTTGCATCGGTTAACCAGAGCAGTCGATTCTTCTCCAACTGGTGCCCTCCAGAGATGATTCCCATGGAGTTCCCATAGTCCCCAACCAACAGGTCTAGAGGATAATGGGTTTTAAAGTTCCCTATCATAAAACACAAATCCTGTTTTGCAGCTTTGGGGGTTTTGTGTGTGTGTGTGTGAGAGAGAGAATTTAAGAGTTTCCATCCATTATCTAGAAGCTGAAGAACTAAGTGAGACCATAGTTGAGTTTTCTACTATGGACAAAGTGGCGAGGGGGGATTTTTGCTTCCAGGAGACAAATGACCTCTGTTCAGACAAGTAGCTGTTTAAAAGAAAAATAGATTCGTTTGACTGTCGTATGAAATGGAACTCGAGCAAAAAAAAAATATTGAAGATGAAATGGGAGATTGGAGAGAGAAAAGACAAGCTGCATAGTTCTGTAAATCCAGCGTTGTTTTTTTTTAATTTTTAAAGTGCATGGTTTCTTGTTTTTCTGTCTGGCTTCCTCTTCATTTCCACTGCTAAGCATGTGGGTTTTATTTTTGTAAAAATTCAGCTGGGAGGGAGTGAAGTCACATTCCTCAGATTCCAGAGGAATAGAAGAAAACCTGACAGTTTTGTGTTTAAGCCACTCTAAGCCAGAATCCAAAATTGCTAAAGGGAGTTTAACAGAGGTGGGTTCCTACCAGTTCGCACCTATTCGGTAGAACCGGTTCGTCAAATCTACCGAACCGGTTATAGAAGAGGTTCCACCAGTGGACCCGGAAAGCAGGCCACACCTACAGAAGAGGTTCCATAAATTTTTCCACCACTGGGGTTTATTGTGTATAAGCTGGAGGAAGGAAGAGTTACGGCTTTGGTCTTCTACGGAGCAATGGACAAGCATGATGGGGAATGGAGTTCCTTTCTTAAACTTCTACCCATGAAGGACTGAAGAACTAAAGTGATATCTCCATGAGAGGGTGCCAACCTGTCGGAAATCCAACTGGCTTGAGGGCGTTGACTCACTTTTCAAACTGAATACAAACACACCCACACACACACTCTCGCCACACATTTGTTGTGTCGGCCCAAGAACCAGAAACATCAGACTGTGTTCAGCCTTTCTCTAATTCAGTTTCAAATCAAAGTTGGTCAACCCCATCATTGGTGAAGAACATCAATTATTGATCTGGGGGGATGGACTCCCCTGCCTGTTTCAGTATCCATATATATATATAAAAGCAAAAATACCACTCACACTTCATCACAAAATCTGCAGAAACATCAAGCCTACAAACTTGAAATTGTGGCACCTATGTTCCTCCTGGCTCCTAGATGCTGGCTAAGAAATGATTTTTCGAAATGACCATGAGATCATTAGCATTCCTTGTACAGTATTAACACGCTCTGACGCTAAGGAGTTCTACTCCCCCTCCTCACCTGAAAAGAATTCTGTTCCAACTGCCAGTTGCCTCACATTCCATTACCTCAGTT